ACCAAAAAACACTGAGAATCAAAAACCCTGAATAACAATAATCAAGGAATATAAATGAACCAATCACAGACCCAGTACCGTGACAGTTGGTGTCTAAAGAAAGTCGACATAAATCTGAAAAGTTATTCCAATACTAGAGCTGTAAATCTGCTAGCAGGGGGCGAAAAGAGAAGTTTGATTGTATAGAAATCTGTGAGAAAAAGACCTACTTGAATCATAATGTTCAGCAAATGCCATTATGTCAGGATACCCTTCAGTATTACTTTAGTCTGTTTCAACAACACTTCAGCAACAAGAGTTCGTTACATTGTAGCTAGAATAAGTATTTTTCCAAAGCTGTATTCCAGTGAACAAACTACTTCAATTTTTTAACCCTTTTTTAATATTGTGGGAGTTATGGGATTAAATTCCAGTGTACCAAAGTGTTTTCTTCATATATCTCTAGAGGAGATTGTGGATCTGACAGATCAGATCAGTCAGGAAGGGAAGACGATCCATGAGCTGGAGAGGATGAAGAAGATCCTCGATGTGGAGAAGAGCAACATTAGAGCTGCCTTGGAGGAAGCAGAGGTAATTAGCTGCTGTAATCAATTATCTATAAAGTCTTTATTGCCTGAACTGTTACCTTTCCATTGATCAGGGAACCTTGGAACATGAGGAAAGCAAGATCTTGAAATATCAGATGGAGCTGGAGCAGATAAGGACAGAGATGGACCGAAAGATTGCAGAGAAAGAGGAGGAGATCGACAGCCTCAGGTAATAAATATATTAATAACAGACTGAAAGGGGCTTAATATATGGGATAGAATAGATTTGAATTAAATTAAATAGCCCTTTATTGTCATTGGAAAATGCTTGAAAGTGGTGCGAAGGAAAAACTGTTGTGTGGAAGAAGCTGTTAGTGAGTCTGGAGGTAGGTGTGGGACCAGATTGACCTGAGGCGCTGACCACAGGGCAGTGGGTCAAACAGGTGGTGAGCGGGGTGCGAGGGGTCACCTGTGATGGTCCTGGTTTTCCTGAGACAGGAGGATCTGGCGAGGCAGAGGGAAGCCAATGATTTTTTTGGGCTGTACCCTCTGCACAGCCTTCCTGTGTACCAAACACGAGTCAGGAGGAGAGCACGCTCTCCACTGAGGAGCGGCAGAAGGCCAGCAGTGCTTCTGGTCCAGGTTATTCTTCCTCAGGACAGGCCTACTGTTAGCCACCGTTAGCTGGCGAGCTAGATAGAAGGCTCTGCGCTGAATGGACGGCCTGTAAGTGCAGCGAGCAGTGACTCGCCCCGTCCTAAGGCACATAAGTACAGAGTCCACAGCAGCTCTTTCCCTGTGTAGGCTCTGCCTCAACCAGTCATACCAGAACAAAAAGGTTCATAACCAGAGAAAGAACTGACAACTGCAACCTTAGTGCTGACGGAGAGGTAACTCCAATGCTGTCCACCAGGGGGAGCCAGCAGCGTTCCCTGGAGACTATGCAGGCCAATTTGGAGGCAGAAATTCGTCATCGTAGCGAGGCGGTTCGTCTGAGGAAGAAGATGGAGTCTGACCTGAACGAGATGGAGATTCAGCTGGGAAACGCCAACAGGCAACAAGCAGAGAGCCAGAGGATCATGAGACACCTGCAGATACAGGTACGCTCACCTGTTCACATCAGAGTGATGAGTAAGAACAGTGTCCAGGGAATGTGCTCTTTACTGACCACACTGTGCTTCATTATCACATCAATCATGGACTGAAAAATGCAGAAGTGAAAACTTCAACCAAAACAAAGCTCCGCCCCCTAGTGGCAAATGATATAACATGTAAACCAATCTTTCTGTGCTGAACTCTATCGCAGGTTAAAGAGCAGCAGGTGGAGCTGCAAGAAAAAGTCCAGCTGACCAATCAGCTCAGAGAGCAAATCGCCCTCCTGGAGCGGCGGTGTTCGCTGATGTCAGCGGAGGAGGAGGAGCTGCGGGGGGTCCTGGAACAGACTGACCGCACCCGCAAGATGGCCGAGCACGAGCTGGTGGAGGTGTCAGAGAGGGTTAACCTGCTCGCTGCAAAGGTTAATTAATTATGGCACATCAAATACAATCATGTTGAAATATGAGCATTTCATCATCACGGTTTGATGACTTCCTGTTTTAGAACACGGGCCTCATGAACATGAAGAAGAAGCTGGAGGCTGATCTGTCGGTGCTGACCGGAGAGGTGGACGAGGCGATGCAGGAGAGTCACAATGCTGAGGAGAAGGCCAAGAAGGCCATCAGTGATGTTAGTCCTGACCCATGACCTTTGATCCCTGATCAAACCCATTGCTGCTGTTAAACTGTAGTTTTCATCATAAGTTAACTGAGCTGGAAAACTTTATTAATCTTTAAATTTAATAACTCGGACATTTCAGCATTTCTTATTCATTTATTTACCCCATAAAGCTGCGATTCATGCATCACACGCTCTGTCAGCCTCAAATACAAATACCAGAATCCTGTTGATGTTTGTGCTTCACCAGGCGGCCATGATGGCGGAGGAGCTGAAGAAGGAGCAGGACAGCAGCACTATGCTGGAGAGAATGAAGAAGAATATGGAGTCTACTGTAAAAGGTACAATAACACTACTGACAAAAATAAATAGATTAAAAATGCATGCATCGACTGTGACCTGTTGTCATGGTAGGTTAATAGAAACAATAGAAATGAGCTCGCCGACGAAAGCACAGACTTCTTGTCTGTTTGCTTTCTGGCACATTTCTTATTTGGATTATCTGAACGATATACTGTATATTCTTATTTCCTCACTTGTAGATGATAACGTGTTCACATAGTTCACCTGCAGACGTCACCGTGTTTTTACAGCATCTGTGTTCTTCTGACAGAACTGCAGGTGAAACTGGATGAAACGGAGCAGATGGCTCTGAAGGGAGGAAAGAAACAACTCCACAAACTGGAGACAACAGTGAGTGAAAACTCAGTCACAGGACCATCAGTCACAGTCAAGTTTCAGTGTGTTGTGGAAGTTTTCCACTTAAATAAAGCCTGCAGGCGAGCGGTGAGCGGTAGCTAACATTCTTTAATCAAAGCACACATACAGCCAAGCTTGATGGAGAGCCTGCATGACCACGGGGCAGGGTCAGCAGAGTCTCCCTGAGCCTAGCATGGCTCTCAGTTAAATACCTTCTTCAGGAACAAAAGGCAGTACACAGCTGTTTCACACCTTAAGGTTCACACTCCCTTGCTACTTCCCAGAGTCCTCGAAGAGACAAAAGACTGGTCCTCTGGAGTTCCTGTTTCCCCCAACATCCTTACTACATCCCCTACCATTTGTCTTACAGTATGAGTGTCAGACATGTTAATACAATAAAATAATGTGATTAATACCTAAGTGAAAGAAATTCCTATACAAGTGCAACACCTCGTAGTTCAACAAGGACACTTTCTACTTTTCCTTATTTCTGTCATACAGATACTCTTCTGTACAGCGGTGGATGTGTTACATGCATTACATAAATAAAACCCCAAAACGTCTGAGTAACTTCTTAGGTCAGTTTCCAAAAAAGCGCTTTTACTTTTTCTGAAAAAAAGAAAAAACTGCCTCTGCCAAAGTCATCTTAAAAAAGGGTAAACATCTTTATTTGAGGTTTATCAAAGAATATTTGTGCTGGGAACAATTTTCCTCTACTGGTATCTGCTGCATAAAAATGTAGGCAGCATGTATAAACTTCTGCTGGAGGTGTCTTCCTGTTAAAAGGAAGTTCTTCCTTCCCACTGTTGCCAGGCGCTGGCTCACAGGAGGCTTGTTTGACTGTTGAAGTTTAAGCCTACAGTATAAAACACTTTCAAGTATTGTTGTGTTTTGGGGGAGTGGCCAGTTATCTCCCATCATGCCTTGGGACATGTGCTGCTGTTAAGATGTTCTTGTTTTATTGTTTACGGTTACATGGCGTTTAACTGTTCTGTTCATACTGCGGTACAAAGTCATGGACGGTTACTGTTTCACCACGAGTGAGTTCGGTCATGTTGTTGACCGTCGGGAGCGCCGTGCAGCACGTGTTTAATTAAAAACTCTTCTTACCTGTTTGGGGAGGAACAGCGAGCTCAGTCTCTGAGGGAGGATTTGTTGCTAAGATTCCTCTGTTTGCCCCAATGTCATTAAAAATGAAAACTGAAAAAGTAAATGACTCAAAAAAACGGAACGCACTATTAAATGCACTAAAAAATGCACTTAAGAATAAATAGAGACATTAAGTTATAAAATGCAACATCATTTGATACTTTGTTTTTCAATTTTCCTTTTTTAAATCAATTCCTCTTATTGGTCATTTTTACATTTGATTTTACCTTTAGATTAATGATTCATTGATGCATGCATATTTTTTACTGAGTCATTTAATTATGTATTCATGCTTGATTTTGGCAGTTTTGCTATATCAGTAACAGGTAACCAGCAGGAAGTAAATCAGCTGCTGTGTGTGCAGGTGAGGACGCTGCAGACGGAGCTGACTGTGGAGCAGAAGAAGAGCGAGGAGTATCAGAAGGGGGTTCGACGCTACGAGAGGAAAGTGAAGGAGCTGACGTACCAGGTGTGAGGTCCTCACTGCATCCAGCTGCTGCTGTCATACAGATGTTGGTCCCGTCTTCTGTGTTTTCATTGGATCTTTGTGCTTTCGTGCAGTCGGAAGAGGACAAAAAGACTTTGCTCAGGATGCAGGAGCTGATAGAAAGGCTGCAGGCCAAAGTGAAGAGCTACAAGAGACAAGCTGAGAACGCTGTGAGTGTTCAGTAATGCTCGAGTCAATAAAATGCAAATCAGCATCAAAATGATTAAAAAACATCTTTTTTATTTCTATAAAGTCAATATCTCTCCACGGAGGGACTCACGTCTGAGCTTTTAATGTGAAACGTGTGCAAGTATGCAAACATAAACATACATAAAATATACAAATGACCAGAGATGGGCAGTAACGCGTTACTGTAATCCGATTACTTTTTTCAAGTAACGAGTAAAGTAAGGGATTACTATTGCAAAAACGGTAATTAGATTACCGTTACTTTCCCGTAGGAAC